TTGGAAAAGACCACAGAAGCAAGGCAATAAAAACAAAAATAGAGAAATGGGATTACATCAAACTAAAAAGCTTCTGCATCACAAAGGAGACACTCAACAAAGTGAAGAAGCAACCAAGAAAATGGGAGAAAATATTTGCAAACTATGCAACTATTAAAGGATTACTATACAGAATCAATAAAGAGCTCAAGAAACTCAACAACCAACGAACAAACAATCTAGTTAAGAAGTGTGCAAAGGACTTGAACATGACATACAAATGGCCAACAGACACATGAAAAGATGCTCAAGATCACTAGCCATCAGGTAAATGCAAATAAAATCCACAATGAGAATTTACTTCACCCAAGTTAGAATGGCTTTCATACAGAAATCAAACAACAAATGCTGGTGAGGATGTGGGGGGAAAAGGTACCCTAATACACTGTTGGTGGGAATGTAAACTAGTACAGCCATTGTGGATGACAGTTTGGAGATTCCTCAATGATCTGAAAATAGATCTACCATGTGACCCAGCTATCCTGCTCCTGGGAATTTACCAAAACAAAATGAAATCAGCATATTAAATAGTCATTTGTATCCCTTGTTCATTGAAACTCAATTCACAATAGCTATGATATGGAATCAACCCAGATATCCACCAACTGATGACTGGATAAAGAAAACGTGGTATATATGGAATATTACACTATGAAATATTACTCAGCCATAAAAAAGAATGAAATCTCATCTTTTGCAACAAAACAGATGCAGCTGGAAACCATTATACTTAGTGAAATAAGCCAGTCCCAAAAAAACAAATATCATGTTTTTCCTAATCTGTGGTCACCACCATGTACAAAAAAGACAATGTATATGAGCAACATTGACATTTTGATATTTAAGTATTGTTTATACCCTTGTATCTACTGTTGAGGAACAGTGTTTTTTCTTACTATTTGTTGAATTTTTTACTTAGTGGAGGTTTAAGCTTATTATTATAAAATAAACTGAAAGTATGTCATTGTAAATATTACATGAAAAAATAGGAAGGGGGAGGGAGGGGGAGGGCATGTGTGCAGGAGGGGAGTAGGGTGAGAAATATCACTGTGCTCTTAAACTTGCATATATGAGCTGGCGCCACGGCTCACTAGGCTAATCCTCCGCCTTGCAGCGCCAGCACACTGGGTTCTAGTCCCGGTTGCCCCTCTTCCAGGCCAGCTCTCTGCTATGGCCAGGGAGTGCAGTGGAGGATGGCCCAAGTGCTTGGGCCCTGCACCCCATTGGACACCAGGAGAAGTACCTGGCTCCTGCCATCAGATCAGCGCAGTGTGCCGGCCGCAGCGCGCCGGCCGTGCCGGCCATTGGAGGGTGAACCAACGGCAAAGGAAGACCTTTCTCTCTCTCTCTCTCTCACTATCCACTCTGCCTGTCAAAAAAAATTTTTGCATATATGAAACACATGGCATTTGTTTACCTTATATAAATAAATTTTTAAAAACTGCTCTATGATTTTCCCATACAAATAGAAGAAAGGTATTTCTGAATGATGAAGCTAAAATGTACCCTAGATTTTAGATAGGAGGATTTTAGAAGAGGACTGCATAAATTAAGCAGCACACTACTGGAGCACAAATGTGAACTCTAATTGTGGGCAGTGAGAAACACTGTATTTACAGAGGCTTCATTTTAAGAAGACTGTCTTCCATTTGAAACCAGCCTGCTTATTACTATTTCTGAAATTAAAGCTGTGTGGGTTTTGCCATGAATTCAGAGAAGAAGAATTCTGAATGCTGGCTCAGATAGACCAGACGACATGGTAAGTTTTTAAGTTTTTTATTTAGTGAGAGAAATGCATAGGAGAGGGAGGGCTATATCTAAAAGAGAAAGGAAAATCTAGATCCATACCGAGCTGAGAGTAGGCCAAGAGCCACGTGCAGAGGCAACAAAGGTGTATAATGGCAAAAAAGGGCTGGGCTCACTGTGTTCCAGGCCTTTGATCCACTTCCAAAGGGGCGTGGTTAATTGATTCGCAGGTGAGCATACAGGTGTGGTCAGGTAGGGGCATGAGATCTCACAGGCGCGTGGTCAAGGCATAGCCTTCCAGCTCACAGACTTAATCAGTTTTATCCTGTCTGCCTGCCTACATCACATTCTTTCTGCCAGAGACTTTGGAGAGTTGGTTAATAACATTACTTCTTTTATATGAACAAAATATGTTCTGGCTTTATGATTAGACTAATACCTGTATTACTCCCCAGAAAAGGATACTTTCTCTTATTAGTCACTAGGCAGGAAACCAGAAGTCAGCAAAGATTACAGTTCTATCTATATTAAGCAAAGGAGCCCAGCTTGGAATGCACTGAAACTTAGTTTTCTAGCCACTGTCAGTGTCAACTCCCAGGCTGTTCTGTTTATAATTAAAAAAGATGTTTGCATGTATCATCACAACTTAATGTTTTGTTATCAAGAGAAAATAATTTTCACCAGGGGTGTTCCTTAATAACTGAAGACAGAAATGCATTATCTATGGTTTCAAAGCCTCTGTATTTTACTACATTTAGAATAGTATAATGTGCCTGGGCTGCGGCTCAATAGGCTAATCCTCCACCTTGTGGTGCTGGCACACCGGGTTCTAGTCCCGGTCGGGGTGCTGGATTCTGTCCCGGTTGCCCCTCTTCCAGGCCAGCTCTCTGCTGTGGCCAGGGAGTGCAGTGGAGGATGGCCCAAGTGCTTGGGCCCTGCACCCCATGGGAAACCAAGAGAAGCACCTGGCTCCTGCCATCGGATCAGCGCAGTGCGCCGGCCACAGCGCACTGGCTGCGGCGGCCATTGGAGGGTGAACCAACGGCAAAGGAAGACCTTTCTGTCTGTCTCTCTCTCTCACTGTCCACTCTGCCTGTAAACAAACAAACAAAAAAGAATAGTATAATGTGGTATTACAATTAGGAATGAGAAACACTTGAAATTTATTAAGTGTTTTACAAATATTTTGAGTTCCTATTTTTACACTGTTAAGTAAGGACTGTATTTGATGTTTATAGAAGTATTGTCAAGGGGTGGCTGCTTCCAGGCTCTTATCTGTGATACAAAAATTATGTTCTAGGATAAGACGCAGGTAAATGTTAGCAGGGGAACAACATTTAATATCAGCTACATGAAAGTCCACACTCGGGGAGCACTGGCATGCTGGAGAGCGAGCTTCTCCTGAGGTCACTGGGTCTTCCTTTTATATGAGACAGGGTCTTGGGTCTTTGTTGTACATGATCCAGAGGCAAATGGGGTAATCTCAGATGGGTTTAAATGAATACCCATAAGGGGTGGTGTTTTGGTCAGGAGTTGGAATATCACACATTTTCTTGCCTTTTCTGGAAGTCTCAGAAGTGTTATGGTATCAGGTATATGATGGGAGCAGGATTGCCAGCCATGGTAATTTAATTATCATGATATTGTAATAGGCTATAAGTCATCACGGGAACACAGCAGCCATCTGGGTGTTTTCTGGATCTGGGCAGTGCTTTCCCAGAAACTGCATTTCTCCACAACAAAAAGCCAGAGGTAAAGGGGGGTTGGAGTAGTGTCACCAGAGGAGAGGCCTTGGGAAGCAGTCGGTTGTTGTCTTCATGCCAGAAAGAATTCAGGCGTAAGACAGAGAGTGAAGTAACAAAGTTTTATTAGGGACAGGGCATCCATCGGAATGGAAGGGACAAATTGAGAGTGCCCAGTCACTTGGACTGGGCAAGAGTGAGGTTACATAGTTGAGCTGAGAGAATACACCTGGGCAGGCCAGGTGGGCGGCTCAGCAGAGAGCAGAGGGCTGAGAGCATGCAGTCTGTTTGGACTCCCTAGGTTTTTAAGGGAGTCTGTTTACCTACCTCCCCCCTCTCCTCCAGGACAAAGGATGGGGAGTCCTGGTAGAAGGGTTTGTTGGGTGAAAGTTAGCAAATTCCTCCCCAGATTTGCTGGCAGAGGCAGAGCAGAGAGGCTTCCCTTAGGGCATCTGGGAAGGTTTTATTGCCCCCTGTTATCAGGTCAGGTAACCCCTTTGGTCCTGAGGAGAGAGAATTCTCCTGGGAGCTTTCCCTGGGGGAAGGGCTGGGACCATCTGGGAGGTTATCAGGGTCTGGGCAGGACTTTGAAGTACAAGGTGCTGGTCTTCAGGCCTGTCTCACATACACATAAGCTACATTCTGACTTCCTACCTAACAAGGTGAGGTTATTTCTTATGGAGCTCATAAATACCCAGGTAAAGAATGATTTTTTTAAAACCATAAATGACTCAAGAAAGGTCCTTGGCAAATTTTAAATGTGAATTCCTGTCTAATAACTGCTCACATAAACACGAGCACACAGTGCATTATCACACTAAAACGTGTTATTCTCCTTTTCCTGACCTGCCTCCTTGTTTGAAAAGTTCTACATCCGCAGGTTTGCAACACGTGCAGAGCCGCTGTCTTCTGCCCTAGGTGCACCTGTGTAATCAGGCTGCTGCCAGTGACTACCTTGAAACCATCATGGAAACCAGGTGGAGGATAACACCGAGGCACACAGGGTCTGACAACCAAAAAAGAGAGGAAAGGGAGTGGAATAAGGAAATAAATGAAAGAATGAATGAAAAAAACGAAGAAGAAAAGGAAAGGAAAGTGTTACTGGCATCCTAGTCAAATCACTTCTGTTCTCATGAATGTTCCTCCCTGCCTGAAGACCAGAGCTTCCTAGCTGTCAAAGCCCTTGGTTGCCACGTGTGCCCCTTCCTCCGCAGCTTCTAGAGGGCATGCATAAACTCAGAACATGCAGTAGCAGGGACAAGAAGAAGGGAACAGGATCTTCGGAACCTGGAACTCATGCAACCGTGCTATTTGAGTTAGGTCTCGTCCTCTTTCATGTTTCTTCAAGAAACACAAAGCGTGGACTTCGTGCTAGGGAGTGTTCTGAAACTTTAAAGTGTGTAACATTAACTCAATCAATTCTAACTGCCTTATATATAAGGGTGTTACCATAAAATTCTACCTGGTTGCCGGATGGAGAACCAGACAAAATTAGGTGAATTGCTGCAGCTGAAAGAGGTGAACTCCCAGCCCAGGCAATCTGGATCTGGCACGTGTACCTGTAATGTAGAAAGCTTTTTGGCAGGCGCTGGTGCTCACTTGGCTAATCCTCCGCCTGCGGCGTTGGCATCCCCCCCCCCCCCTTCTAGGCCCGGTCGGGGCGCTGGATTCTGTCCCGGTTGCTCCTCTTGCAGTCCAGCTCTCTGCTGTGGCCCGGGAGTGCAGTGGAGGACGGCCCAAGTGCTTGGGTCCTGCACCAGCATGGGAGACCAGGAGGAAGCACCTGGCTCCTGGCTTCAGATCGGCGCAACGCGTGGGAGTAGCAGTCATTTGGCGGGGTGAACCAACGGAAGGAAGACTTTTCTCTCACTAACTCTGCCTTTAAAAAAAATAAGTTTTTGTGTATTTAACCTTCTCCTATGAGGTTAACTGTATGCAGAGTAAGACGAGAGGCCCGGAATGGGTTAACGATGAAGCAGACCGCGCTGAAAAAATAAAGAGGATTAGGGGCAAGCCTGAGAAAGCCCCTAGGAAATCCAGTGGCTCCTGCTCCTTGAAACTCGCGCTTTCGCTCTCGCCTGTACTTAGAAGGTGGCGGCGGAGCCCAGCTGAGCAAGTACTTGGCAGCTCCGCGCAGGGCTGGGGGCCGGAGGGCCTCTGGTTTGATTTGCTCAACCCCCTTCCCCAAACAAGGTCGGACCAGTCCTCCCGGAAGGGCGCCTCACAGTTAAGCCCTTAGCGCGCATTAGACCCCGCAGGCTCCGGGGCCAGGACCCTTCCCCGGATCAGGCGCCGCCTGAAGCCAAGACAGCCCGGGAGTCAGGTGGGCGCTGGGCCCCCAGGGGGCTGTCGAGGGTGGGAGCTAGACACGGGGACGCACCGGCATCCGTCAGCGATTCCTCTGCCTTTGGACAAGTCGGTGCCTAGGGCGAGATTCTGGAGGCAGGTGGGAGCAGCCCGGAAGCCCGAGGGGGAGGGCGCGCCGCCTCCCTCCTCAGAGCATGGTGCGGGAGCGCCGCGGCGGCCGTTCCTCCTCCGCCTCTGGACTCCCGGGGCGCGGCTGTCCCTTCCAGGTCTCCCTCCGGGCCTTCCCAGGGCCGGGGAAAGTTCCTCCGAACCCACAGCGCCCTTGGATTTGGAGCCTGCCGCGGCGCTGGCTGTGGAATCCGCTCTGCTCGGAGCCCAGCGGAGCGCGTCGCGGGCGCTAGGAAGCCGCCGTCTGCGGGCGCCGGAGCGGCGCTGCCCGTGCGGAGCCGAGAGTTTGCAGCCCCGGCCGCGAGTGGCCCCGTCGCCCCGCGGTTGTTTCCTGCGCGGGGCGCGGCGACGAGGTCTGCAAGTTGCAAGGAGACCCCCAGGGGTCCGGAGAGGGCTGCGCTCCGCCTCGCATCCCTTCCTGCGGTCCCCGGCGCTCGGGCGTGAAATCGGGGCGACGTGTACGGAGGCCTCCGGGTCCCGCCGAGACTGATCTGCGGCGCTCCCCGCCTGGCCCCAGTCCGCACCCGGAGCCCGGGAGCGCGGGGCTCGAGGAAGGCCGGGCAGAGGGGACGGGGGCGAGGGGCGGCGGCGGCGGCGACATGGCGCGGTTCCCCAGGGCCGACCTGGCTGCGGCGGGAGTTGTGCTACTTTGCCACTTTCTGATGGACTGCTGTCAGTTCGCCCAAGGGGAGCCTGGACGCCGAAGGAACGGTAAGAGGCGCTTCCGCTGGCGGCTCCGTGGGCGGCTGAGGACCTCCCCGGGCCCCCAGCCCACCCCCGGCGCGACGGTGGGCCCTGGGGAAAGTTGCTGAGGTTGCGCCCCGGGTGCAGCCGAGCTTCCCAGTGGAGGGGAGGTGGACACGAGAGGATGGGGTGGGACCGTCTGCTCCAGGTAGCCCTGGGAGGGCTGCGGTGTGGGAGCGAAGCTCCTGCGGTGGGTGCCTCGCCCAGCGCTGGGCGCCCGGCCGCCACCTCCTCCTTCCCCAGCGCTCGGAGAAACTCGGCGAGTGGGGGTGGGGGATGCGCGGGCAGCCGGGGCTTGCAGGGCTCCCTTAGGCTGCAGAAGATTCCCGGTGGTCGCCCCGGGTTCCCCCTGGTCGTCGGGGGGCTGAGCGGGCCCTGGCTGTGCTGCGGGGCAGGTGCGGCCCGGCGCTAAGTGGGCAGGAGGGGGCGGGCGCGCCCCTGGAGACCCACCCCCGACCCCTGAGCTCCCGCACGCAGGCTTCACGAGGCTCAACCGTGCCGGGCTTCCTCCCCGTGCCCTGGCCGGTCCCCGCGAGGAGCCTGGCTCCGCCTGCGCCCCGCGACTGCGCCCCCTTCTCAGGCGACGGCTCCGGCAAGGTGCGCGTCCTGCTTCGAGCAGGGAGCCAGCGGGGCGCCTGCCTCCCAGGACCCTGGCCTCTGCGGAAAGGGTGCCGGTCCGCGTTTCCACCAGTTAGCGAAGAGTGGAGAAACAGGCAGAGGGTTCTTGGCGGAGATTTGTGAGCTAGCCTAGGAAGGAGGTGAAAGCAAAAAATAGTTGGAGGGAAAAGAGAAAACTTTGTTAGGTTGATTGTGTTGTGTTTAGTTTTGCGTTTGTGTTTTCACTTGCTGGAGGAGTCTGGTTGAGGGTGCCCAGAAGGTGCACGAGTCCCTAGTTCTCAGACTTGGGAGTCAGTCAACAGATGCATGCCCGGGAGGGCACCCGGGGATCCTGGGGAAGATGGAGCTGGGAAGAAACCCTTCCATGAAATCTTACATCGCTGAGATCTGGAAGAGTCCAAACATTATGTCTGTCTGTCTGTCGTACATTTTAGAGGGAAACCCTATGCTTTCTCTGTGCTCTTGCAGGAGTAATCGTGACTGGAGGTGTGTGTGTGTGTGTGTGTGTGTGTATGTGTGTATGTTGGGAAGTCTGGGCGTGCTGACATCACCTTTAAAGCAGGTGCAGGTTTCCTGGTTTTGATGTTCTTTGCCATACATTATTCTGCGGTGGTCGACCTTTGTTCCTGTGTGTGGCACCTCTGTGTATTACTCTCATGCATTACATTGGTTAAAAATAACAGTCTTATCCTCTGAAAATCAACACATTTATTAAAAACATGCGGCATTCATGGTATTAAAAGTGTTTAGGAGAACAGCTTATAGCATTATTAAAGGAGGTGATGGGAGTGTGTGCGAAATATGTCCCGACTTGTTCATTTAAAAGCTTGTTTGGCACCGGGAGTAAATAATGCATTTACAGTGAAAAGGGAAGGTCAGCGGGTGCTCCTTTTTTCTTCCTTGAGCTTTTGTCAGTAATCTTACTAAGGCAAGAAGATACTTTGAAGTCTTGTTTCAAGTTCTCAATATAGTAATGGAATTCATTCCAGTATGAGAAGGGCCAGATAATCAAATACTTTTGCCTTGGGGAATATAAAATGCCTGAATTGTTCAGTATAAATGTGCTGGTATTTTAAGCCAATCCAGTATTTCTGGTGGAAATCTCTTAAATTCATATTTCTGTAGGATCCAGTAAAAGGAATAGTTTAAATTCCTTGGCAATGTTTTGGAGACTTTCTTATACACTTTGTCTCCTGGACATCAGTCAGCGTGTAGCTTCCTGAGACATCTTAGAATAAAATGGTTAGCCAAATACAGTCAGGAAAGAAGCTGGCGCCGTGGCTCAATAGGCTAATCCTCCGCCTTGCGGCGCCTGCACACCAGGTTCTAGTCCCGGTCGCTGGTCGGGGCGCCGGATTCTGTCCTGGTTGTCCCTCTTCCAGGCCAGCTCTCTGCTATGTCCCGGGAGTGCAGTGGAGGATGGCCCAAGTGCTTGGGCCCTGCACCCCATGGGAAACCAGGATAAGCACCTGGCTCCTGGCTTCGGATCAGTACGGTGCGCTGGCCGCAGCGTGCCGGCCGCGGCGGCCACTGGAGGGTGAACCAACGGCAAAGGAAGACCTTTCTCTCTGTCTCTCTCTCTCACTGTCCACTCTGCCTGTCAAAAAAAATTTTTTTTTCCTTTGTAAAATAGCCTATGTAAAAGGTCCGTACAGGGGAAGAAGTCCAGCAGTCTTGGAATTTGGCATTTGGCAGTCAGGATATTTGTTACATTTTAGCATAGGAAACTATACTTTCATAACAGGGGGTTTTATTATGTATTATTTTAGTAAATGCTGCCATTGATTATATTGCCACCAAACAGTGGAGGACTGCTAATTTTTCCATATATTTCTGTTTTAGAGGCGAGTAGTTTATGCTTAGCACATGATTTGCCTTATTCTAGTTCTTTTTCTGATGATATTTTCCTGCTATTTTCTGCTTTCCTTGGAGTTAAAACAATTTCCCTGAAATTGTTAATTTGTATAGTTTGTTATGGGAGTCCCTGTTGAGACTTGCTTGTATTGTCACAGGCGTTTTTGCCACAGTGTCTTGGCTTTCCATGCCTGAGAAACTCTCAGGGGCATTTTAGCCAGATCCTAATACCTTAAGGACTGACACTGAGGCCAGAGTGCTGTTTAGGGCATTTGCCATTCTGAGTCTGCTTCCCATGTTGGATTGCTCTCTCTGTTTTAATTCTATCAATTATTATTTTTTAAAGCTGTTATTTATTTATTTGAAAGGTGGGGAGGCAGAGCTCTTCCATTGCAGATTCATTCCCCAAATGGCTTCAACCACCAGAGTTGAGCCAGGCTGAAGCCAGGAGCCTGGAATTCCATCCAGGTCTCCTATGTGGGTGTCAGGTGCCAAGTATTTGGACCATCTGCTGCTGCTTTCCCAGGCACATTAATAGGGAACTGAATTAGGAGTAGAGCAGATTGGACTCAAATAGTCTTATATGGGATGCCAACATCACGATAGGCAGTGGCTTAACCTGCTGTGCCACAATACCACCCTTATAATGCTGGTTGCTGACTACATGTTTACTCACATTCTTTTTTTGCTATCTTAAAATACAGAGTACACACATATATGTATGTGATACATAAATGTACATACCTTGAACTTATACTCTACATTATATGCATTGTGTATATAATGTACACATACATAAAATATATGGTGGTGGCGGTCTGTTTTCAGTGGAGGTGAATATTAAATATTTTGGTTCTTTGTGCGGTTGCCTTGAACTGCATGTGTGTGCCAGTGGCCTGCACCAAGGGAGCTCCCCCGACCCAGGACGCTTGCTCTGAAGGCTCTTGCAGGGGGGAGGCTGGGGAGCCCGTGCAGTGCAGTGCGGTCTCTGCTCCAGGAGCAGCCAGAGGAGAGTGAGAGGCGGGAAGAGACAGTGCTTGTGCTTCAGTGGCACACGGAGCTCTTCCGCACTGTCTTGTTAGTGCGTCTGGATGTTGTGCTTTGTGGCTAGACCTGTTGCTTTCAATGTAATGGTTTCTCCAACAAGCGTGTGTGTGTGTGTGTGTGAACCTCCTGGCCTGTGTTTTGTGTACTCCCTTACCTGTGTCTTCATCTTATCCTTCCTACCTTTCCTCTCATACAGTCTTACTTTGTGTGTGCCTTGGAGATGGAGACAGGTAAATAGAATCCAATCAGCCGAACATGGAAGGTGTTACATGTTCCTAGATGACTGCATGGCTTTGTCTTTCTCTGCCAAGTTCCAGCCTCTGGCTTTCCTCAGAGGACGTTTTCCCAAAGCTTTACTCATGCCAGCAGGTTGCTCCGTTCTAGGGGGTCTTTCTCGGCCTGGGCTCACAAGCAGGCTGTCTTCCCCGCTGAGGGAGCCACTGCGGCTGACAGCCTAGGTAGCCATGCTGTTAGGACGGTTGTCCTGGCTCTTGTGTCACAGGTCCCCTGGCTCTGGTGGCAGTGTAGCAGCTAAAAAAAGATGAGAGTTCAAAACAGTGCACGATGTGTTTGTTTCCAGACAGTGCGCCTACTTCATATTTGTTCTTTGGTTTTTGTTTTCCTTGTTTTAATCAACAAGGTGATGAGATGAGGAATGCAGGCAGACTTATATGTTTCAGTGGAGTTAGAGGTCTGGTTAGGGGCCCGTCTGGAACCCACACAGCCTATAAAATACTGCAGATGTGAACATGGGAGTAGACACTGTGTGCCCTTACCTGAAACCCAGCCCTTTAATTCCTCCCTCCCCAGGCCAACTAAACAGATCCGTGCTGTAAAATAATCCTGAGAGTGTGCTGCACCTATTTTGGTAATTTAGCCAGTTTATTTGCTAATGTCACAAAGAGATGTAGCAGTATGGCTTTCTAAATTTGTTATTTAATTCTTGTTTGGAGTAGAAATAGGGTCAGTTTTTGGTCACACAGCAGAATTTTAAGGAGTATTTTAACATTTTTCTGAAAACTGAATCTCCTATGAAGGTCAGAATTGACTTGTCAGTTTAAAAAAAAATTGCATTTTAGGTTCTCAGTTCTTTGCTGACATACTCACCTGACCTGACAGGTATATTCTCTTCGTTAAACTTCACTGCTTCACTCACTGCTACTTTGTCTCATGTCTGAAATGTCTTTTCTTGCATGAAGATGTGGAGCTCTGATCCAGCTGTCTCCGGTAACCTCTCTTGGCAGAGCCAGCCGAGAACAAGCACAGTGAATAGAAGCCATCCAGCTCCAGGTGGTCACGAGGCAGGGCTTCCGACCCATGCCATTGGACAGTTGACCAGCCCTCTGGGCCATGCTGGACAGCCTTTTCCCAGGCCACTTGCAAACACCGTAGGATAGACAGCAAAAGAAAAATACCCATAACCAGCTCTACCCCAGACACTGTTCCAGGAAACTACAGAAGATAGACCTTCACCTGTCCTACCCACATGAGATTATGAGGGGTAGGCACGGAGACATTAACTAAGAATGTGAAAAGGGATGAAGAACAAAAATGGGAATTTTATGCAGTGGAAGGAGGGAAGAAACACTTTGGAAGCAGACCAACATTCGCACATCTGAAGTCTTCCCATGTTTGATCAGCTTTTTTTTGGGTGGGTCCCAGCCCTTCTCCAGGGGCAGCTTATAGGATGCAAACTGGGGATTATTTAACCATGGTTAGATGTTGGCGAGATTTTCAGATGTAGATCATTGGGCAGCCGCAGCCTTTCGGATTTTTTTTTCCAGCAACAGTCTAAAAGATCTGTAGTACTATACTCATTGCTAACAACCAAATCATTTCAAGGTCTTGGATGTGATCCATTTGCTCATGTTTACATCAGTTATGGTCAACACGGTTCCTATACTCAGTAATTTGCCCTTGTTCTTCCCAGAGCACATTTTTCTCACCCTTGTCATATTTCTTGTTTTCCTTGAAACATTTTTCACCATTCTTCTGTGTTCCATACAAGCTGTATGGTGAGGGCATCTGGTGTTTTTATTTGCTCGGTATCTTTTCTCCCCTTGTCTCCCCAGTCTGTCCTGTTCTCCAGATAGCTCACCATGTGTCCCAGAGGTGGCCGTCCCTGATCCTCCTTGTCCTAGACTTCAGGCCAATTATTTTCTAAGTGTTATATACAGAAATCTGTGAGAGACAAGGACTTTGGTTGGTTGGTTGGTTGGTTGGTTGGTTTGTATTTCATCGGAGGGATGCTGCATTGAGAAGATAGACATCTAAACCCATTTGTAGGTAGTCTTGGGTTTTCCAATAGCATAAGTGAGAAAATTATAATTTTGAGTTGGGAGTTTTTACTTACACTGAAAGTGTCTTGGAAAATACATCAAAGTTTTTAATTACATGGCTGTTTGTGTTTAAGGATTATTTCCACAATAAATTTTAAGTGTGAGGGTTGAAGGTAAGAATGTCTGTTTTACCTCCATTATTTGTTTTCACAGCACTTTCCATAGTACTTGGTATGTAGAAGGCTCTCAATAAATAGTAGTGAGATGAATTATCTGTGTAAGTTCATTAGGAAAAAAATAATAATCAGGAATGGCTGTTTGGTGCAGTACTCAGGGGGAGTGGTGGTTTGAGACCCTCTCCCCTGCTTCTGATCCAGCTTCTTGATAATGACACGTCCTGGGAAACAGCAGGTGATGACTGAAGTAGTTGGATCCCAGCCAGCCATGTGGGAGACCCAGGGGGAGTTCCGGGCTTCTGGCTTTGGTCTGGTCCAGCCCTGGGAATGAACCAGTGGATGGTGCATCTCTGTCTTTGTCTTGCTGCTTTTCAAATAAAATGTAAACGAAAATTCAAGAAAATTTAAATAATTCAGGTCTCATATTGAATGACATGAGTCCAAAGTTGTGACTATAATAAATTCTTTCCTTTCATGTTCTTGTAGTTTTTTTTGGTCCCCTTCTCATTTTAAGTTTTTAATTCTCTTACCTGGCTCTTACGAGTCTATTCTTTATTTTGTGGAGTTGAATTTGGTGCCTTCCTTTATTTTCCACTGCATTTTCTGTCATCGTTGTATGTTTGCTGCAGGAATGAATAAACTTGCCAGGCAGTATAAAATAGTGAAGGATAAAGTTTTGTCTCTTTAATGAGTGATACATCATGGCTTTTGAGACTTCATTAATCTCTACCCTGAAGGACAAAGCAAAATAATCCATCAGGTATAATTGAGTCATTTTGTTCACTTAATACTTGTGTTTATTGAGATTTCTAGATCATTAAATATCTGTATGATGACACTTTAATCACGACACCTAGCGCCTAGGTTCTAAATGTTGGTTACTTTGGGCTTCACTGGTTCTAAGTGGTGGTTTCTGGGAAGCTGTGGTTTTCCACTACTGCGTAGAAGGGGGATTCAGGGAGTGCAGGCAGGGCTGCAGAGGGGCTAGCGACCTCGGCTTGCCTGCATCAAGTGCACCACACACTTACCCGGCACTGCAACTCTGTAGCCTTCTACAGTACGGTATTTTATCTCATCTTCACGCCCACCTGCAGTCTTTTATCAGTGTAGAAGTAGAGCTCTGGAAGGTGAGGGGGCTTGTTCAAGGTTACACAGATAGTGAGAAAAGTAATGAACTTACAACTGCAAAATTCAAACTTGATCTTTTTTCTGTGCCACAGCTGATCATGTAGTGAATATTTCAGTTTAACCTTTTCTAGTTATTGGTATAAATTTATATTCTTAGTCAAAGTCTATTCTAATTTTCTAGATGTCATACATCCTTAGGTGATCTTTTTCTAATTTATAACTTGTGAGTATCATAAAACCAATAGCTTGTACCATTTAAATTTTTATTTATTTATTTATTTTTTTTTTTGACAGGCAGAGTGGACAGTGAGAGAGAAAGGTCTTCCTTTTCCGTTGGTTCACCCCCCAGTGGCTGCTGCGGTTGGCGCGCTGTGGTGCGTGCACCACGCTGATCCGAAGCCAGGAGCTTCTCCTGATCTCCCATGAGGGTGCATCCTCCACCACACTCCCGGGCCACAGCAGAGAGCTGGCCTGGAAGAAGAGCAACCAGGACAGAATCCAGCGTCCCAACCAGGACTAGAACCTGGTGTGCCGGCGCCACAGGTGGAGGATTAGCCTGGTGAGCCACAGCACCGGCCTGTACCATTTACCTTTGAAACCAGTTTAGATGTTTGAGCATTCTTTGTTTCCAGGGAGACTTTTCCTATGAAGAGGTTTAATTATGACATGAATGCAAATTGTGATTCCCTGAAGATACTGATTGTGTTTGGGTTAGTATTCAATAAAAATCAGTTGGTCAAAAATGTGTTTCTCCCATGTGCTTTTTGCTTTTTAAAATTAAGTTTCCTTGCAGTGACTCTTGATAGCCAGGGATATGATGGTGGAAATCGGCTGGCTCTCAACCAGGAAAGCCTGGGATGCTCTGGGAGGTGGTTTTGCTCTTCAGCACCTAATTCGCACCTTGTGAATGTCACATTTAACACTGGGATGGTTGTGTTATTGTCCTTCCTTTTAAGCCCTTTAAACGGTTCTGTAAGAATTATGCTTAATTGAATTTATTTTGTGGCCACTTTGGAGAGATCTGAGGATCAGAAAGTGATCTAATTGCTGATGTGGAGTCTGGTTGATCAGGAAAGTGGTGACATGCTGACTGGATTCTGGAGATCACTACTGATTTTTCCAGGACTCTTTAGGTTGCAGGTTGAAGTTACATGGCCTCATGGACTGTGTTTCAGTCAATTCTCTGGAGGTGGGTGTAGGACACAGCTGTTCAGATGCTGTTTGGGACACACGCATCCTGTATCAGAGCAGCTGTGTTCCAGTCCTGGCTCAGCTTCTGATCCAGCTTCCTGCTACTGCACATCCTGGGAGACAGCACGTGATGGCTCAAGTAGTTTGGTCCCTGCCACCCATGTGGGAGACGTGGAATGAGTTTCAAGTTCCTGGCTTCATCCTGGCCCAGCCCTGAATTATTGTGGGCAGGTGAGGAGTGAACCAATGATCTTTTTATCCTCCTTCCTTGTCTGTTTTTCAGGTAAGTGAATGAAAAAGAGCGGTCACTATTCTGCTTGCTACCTTCAGCTTAGAAACAAAGGAGAAGGGTCTAGATCACCTCATGGGGTCCTTAAACATCTGTCCTAGGCTTGCTTCCAGTTCCATGAATCACTAATTCCATGACCTTGGGAAACTTGACTCACTCCTAGTTCCTTGATTTTGTCATCTATAAAATTACAATGCTAGGGCCGGCGCCGTGGCTCAATAGGCTAATCCTCTGCCTAGCAGCACCGGCACACTGGGTTCTAGTCCCGGTCGGGGCGTCGGATTCTGTTCCAGGCCAGCTCTCTGCTGTGGCCCGGGAGTGCAGTGGAGGATGGTCCAAGTGCTTGGGCCCTGCACCCTCATGGGAGACCAGGAGAAGCACCTGGCTCCTGCCATCGGATCAGCACAGTGCGCCGGCCGCAACGCACCGACTGCGGTGGCCATTGGAGGTGAACCAATGGCAAAAGGAAGACCTTTCTCTCTGTCTGTCTCTCACTGTCCACTCTGCCTGTCAAAGATAAAAAAAAAATTAAAAAATGCTAGGGCTCAACTTGCAAGAATTTTGTGAGGGTTAAGATATGAAGTAGAGGACAGGGGCATGGAAAGCACTCACTGATGGTCAATGTTTACTAAACAAACACTATAGATACCCCACATTCATACGTGATGGTGTGCTCTTTGGAATGTGAACTTCAGACACATGTACTTTTGTTGCCACAAGTTAAAGGTTTAATATGCATTAACATAGCAGTTTCTTTTAAAGATTTATTTATTTATTTGAGAGGCATAGTTTCAGAGAGAAGGAGAGTCAGAGTTCTTCCATCTGCTGGTTCACTGGTTCACCCCCGAAATGGCCGCATTCGCCAGAGCTGTGCAGATCCGAAGCCAGGAGCCAGGAGCTTCTTTTGGGTTTCGCACGTGGGTGCAGAGACTCAAACACTTGGGCCATCTTCTGCTTCCCCAGGCTATCAGCAGGGAGCTGGATCGGAAGTGGAGCAGCCAGGACTTGAACCAGTGCCCATATGGGATGCCAGCACCACAGGCGGATGCTTAATCTATGCCAGAGTGCCAGCCAAGCCCTTGCATTAATATTTTAATAGTAGTAAAGTTTGAAGTAGTCATTACCTGTTTTCACTTATATAATAGCCATTTAAATCTTCAAAAGATTCAAAGTATAAGAGTTGGTATGAAGTAGGCATTAGTAGTTTTTTCTTAGTGATTTACTGATACAGAATATTGGAAAACAAAAACTAAATTCCAGCTACATTTCTGTATGCTGTTCCTGGTGCCTACAGGGTCTGCTTTCAGTTTATGATCCATAGAATAATTGCAAATGTTTCTCCCCTTTGCTACATGCAACCTTGGCAATGCAGGCGTCATCAATGCATTTTGGACCCACAGTTACAATCTGTCTATACTTTTGAAATGCCAGCATTTTTGCAGAAAGGAACCAATTAGGACTAAAACAAAAGCCATCTTTGTGCATGTGACTGTAGAGAAGGGAGGAGGTTAACATTACACAAAATATCAGTTTAAGCTTTGGGTAAATGTGCAGCTCTCCGATAAGATTACAAAACTTTCAGAGCTGGAGGATGTTGGGGACATCTGGTCCAATCTCCTCATTTTAGCAGTTTAACTCAGGCAGGTGCAGAATCAAGTCTAGAAAATGTTCTTTCCGTCCCACTAAGTTAAATTTATCAGTTATAACTGAGCAGATTCACAGTTTGAACTCATAGTACATTGAACCATAAGCCTTTATAATAAAAATATAACAAATACAATTTATTAACGAACTGCACATCATTATGCCTGGAGCAACAATTTGATTTCATAGTGGACCTTCTGATTTATACAACATCATAAAAAGTATTGGAAAGATGTGACATTGAGAGGGGGATAAAGGCCAGCCTCTCATTGTCCTATCACACGTGTGGGATTTCATGGCTGAAGGGAATGTGGTGTGGAGTATATGGAACTGGTACATAATTTCATTTTTGTTTTGGTGAAGCATCGAATATTACTGATATCTAATCATCATGTGATTACTATTATCTAAAACTATGGCAGTGAAACAGCTATCAGAAAGTAGTTACACTAATAATGTGCTAATTACACCAATAACCACAAATTTCACTGTAGAAACCTGCAACAATTTTTCCTCACAATTTAAGACCGGCACTGATCTATGTCCTTTCCCATCACAACTTAAAAGGACCTGGCAGTTAAGCATGTTGGGATAGATACCACACCAGCTTTCCAATTTTTTAAGTCTTAACGTCTTTATCAAACTGATTTACTTTTCAACGTTTAATTTCACAGATGGAGGCTTCCCTGTTAGATTTGTTCACAGTTGTCTGACCAGGCTCTCTCTTCCCCAGTGTGTCCACTCTCATTCCTTGCTTTTCAGTTGACATGCGTTTCTGCCTTTTCGCTCAATATCTTTGTTTTCTACCCTTTCCACTAAGCTGCAGTCTCTTAATATGCCATGCCATTCCTTGTTTCAATTTAGATATTTTAGAAAATACAAAATAGCATGTAGAAGAAAAATCTTTATCACCCAGTGGTCAGATGGCTATGGTTAGAATGTGGTGTTTGTTTTTAAGTCTAGCATCTCTCCATCTTTTTCCTGCTGCTTTTTCCTGTGTGCTGCTCTTTCCCTTAAGTATTCTGGTTCTGCTGCTTCCTAGCTGTGACCTCTAGAGGGCTATCCCCTGGGCCTTTGTTTTCTCATTTGTAAAGTGAGAATAACAATCCTTGCCTCAATGACTTTGAGGATTAAATGAGTTGATTCATGGAAAGTGGCTAGCAGAGTGCCTGACAGAAAACTCAATGTTAAGGTTTCCATGCCACATTGCTTACTTACACTGTATTTGCCTGTGCTACTGTAGGAGTGCCTATAGTATAGAAAATAAATCGGAAATGATAAGAAATGTCATCCCAGTGGATAGCCTGCCATGTTCCTCATTGGAGACCTCTTGTGATAGGACAGTGGAAATGTGCAAGAAGAATAGGTAACATTTTTAGGTTTGTTCATTTGCCCTGAGTTTCAGATCTGGCACAGGAGTCAAGTAATTTTTAAAAACTTGATACATTCTTTTTCTAAAGAAATTAATTATTTGAAAGGCAGAGAGACAGTCATAGAGGTGTTTTGTCCACTGGACCAGGACAACGCCAGGAGCCAGGAATGCCATCTGTGTCTGCCCACAGACTCAAGCACTTGAGCCATGGTCTGCTGCTTCCCAGAGGCATTAGCAGCAAGTTGAATCAGAAGTGTACTTCGGGAAGGGATGCACATCCAAAGCTTAGGCCTGCCTCTCAAGTGTTATCCATGTCTTTTTACTGAATGGGCATATGACTTAAGGGCATCTCCCAGTGTCTTAGTGTGAGGCATCTAAAATAATCAGGTTTATCATTGGTGGTTTAAATGTTGGGGCTTTTAAACAGAGAGAGCCCCCATCCCCTGGTGTAGTCCCCAGATGCCCATAAAATGCTTGGGTCAGATCAATGCCAGGAAATGGAAACTCAAGCCAGGCCTTGCAAGGGGGCCACAGGGACCTGATTAACGGGGCGGGGCTATTGCTGCTGCCTCCTGTGTCTGCATGAAGAGGAAGCTGGAGACAAACTGAGGCTCTGATGGACAAGCATCTACATGATGGTCCTTTCTGCTTGGATTACATTTTAGGAGCGCCTAACCCGCCCCGCCCCCACTGCTGTCCTTTCCCGAGAAGGGTCCTGCCCCTCTCGCCCCCAGTGACTTTTCTCCTTCCTGACTTCTCCCGTGTTTCCACTGCAGCCTTGGCCATTTGGGCACCTTCTTTCTCCACGTGTGTGAGTCACAGCATAAGGAACGGAGTGCATCAGTAACACTCAGGCAGATTTAACTCAAATGAATTGAAACCCAAAGCCCAGAGGTTATCAGCAGCACCCAGGCTGTTAAGAAGCCCCTGTGCTGGGGTGAGGTAAGTGTGAAGGCAGCCAAACAGTGCCAAGTTAAAAGGTGCCCAGAGATGGCAACTTGTGTCTGGCATCTTTTCATCTGTGGGGGTGTGGGTGTGGGTGTGGGTGTGTGTGCTCTTTAGGATGTCCATAAATAACGCCCTTTCTTCTCTGCAGCCCAGAGGGTTTCATCTTCTCCCGCCTCTCCTCCTTCCCTCTGGGACTCTCCTTCCCCCTCTCTGCTCCCCTTGCTCTCACCCCCATCTCCCTGTGGCTTCCAGTTGGCTTCCCTGCTTAGCCCTGGCACTGAGCTCTCTGGTGCTATTTA